TTTTCTCCACACAGCCTGCTCAGGAACCAGGACATTTACTTTTCTACAATCTAGAAAACATTGAAGCTATATCTCTATTGGATGAGTGTTGATTTTGGAAAAGAGAAAAGAAATTGTTTTATACCCATCCAAGATATCGCCTCTAGGAGCAGTTAACAAAATAGATGCCCAGATATGCTAGATTAGTAAACTTCTTCTGAACCACCCTTGGAAAAGAATTGCATAATGACATACAACTGCCAACCGATTCAAAATGAACCATTCCAGAACTTGTAGGTCAGGTTATAAAAAGCTTAACAGAGCTGCCTTTCCTCAGTTTGTTTGACAACGTCAGTTTTTTAACTGCAAGATGGCCTGTCAGCTGGATTTGGCAGTACAGGGTTATGCTTGGTCCGTGCTGGTTCTCACACCTGCTCTCCTTCTGCTTCCACACTAATCCTCACATGAGAAACACTTTTTACACTACAATCAGATGGAATCTACTGTCTGTTGAAGTACCACTAAAAGCTTTAGTTTATGTTATTCTGTTTGCACAATTGAAATATTTATGCCAAGAATATTACAAAATGCTTTCCTTCTTTCCATAAAATCAGAGTTGCCTGGAGCCACATAAGGGCCATTGTCATTGCCAAGGAATTTGAATGATGGCTTTCCACATTTTTACCATTCACGTTGAGTGATCTGAGTCACTATGCTTTTATAAATAAGAAAAAGACTGAGCCATCCACGTGCAAATCTTATCTGCTCCTAATTCCCTTTTCAACTCTAGTTCACCTTGCAACTAAAATGCTTGAAAGTTTTTGTGGCAAATAGGCATAAAGATTAGCATATATGGTCTGATTTCAACTATGAAAAACATACATTAAGAAAACCTGTAAGTAACATGTTTTATCCTATAATTCAAAGAGAATATATTGCCTTATTAGTACTTCTTTCTGGCTGGTAAGATTCAGAACTGTGGAAAAAATATGTAAATTTTTATAAATTTCCCACGATCAGTGTGATGTAAAAAAGAATATACAGGTATTAAAAAATTAGAAGAAACTACAGTGAAGTGTTAATAGTGTTTTTCTCCTTGTGGCACAACTGTAAATGATTTATTTTCTTCTTTCTATGTTTTTTCTGTATTCTAAATTTTCTATAACAAAAATAGAAAACTTTATTGAAATATGAAAAATTTTTATCTAAAATATTTTGTAGAAACATGGCTTTCCATCACCAGCAGAATAAACTAAATATCTTAGCTACAGACTAATGGCCTTCCACACACGGGCTCCAACCCATCTTCTCACAACTTTATTTTTCATTTTTCATGACTACCCTTCACACACTTTTTACTTCAATAAAAAATTAACTCTTTGTCATTTTCCGTATAGACTCTAAACTTTCTTGACTCTGCATAGTCGTTTATTCTGTTCCTGGACTTTCCTCCATGTCCAAATCACTTCAGTCTCCATTCATTTGTGGTTTTATCTGTGGCATTTTTTTAAAGTAAACACCTTTCCTTCTGTGTAATTCCTGTACAACTTCTTTCTTTATTCCTTGTAGAATTCATTAGGCAGCGATCACCTTCTCTACTTTTAGATTATATATGCTTCCTTCATTCCTTTGTTTCAGCCTTCCTTTCTCCTTCTCATTTTTAAATAGCTAATTTAGTCACTTTCCCTTTAAATTTCTCTTTTAAATGTTATCTCCAAATCTACACCCTTAGTTTGGGTTCTCTGAAGCATTTAAGACTTAGACACTTGATGAATGAATGGGTAGCTGAAAGAATGATCTATCAGCTGGAGGTAGCAAGGATCCTGTATGATCTTGTCTGATTGGTCATGGAGAAACATGGTAAATAGGAAGACAAATGTGAAAAGTTATCAGATAGAATGTTGAACTAACTGCCACCTTTGAATCCAAGTTTGAATCAGATTGAATTTAAGTTTACTTCCAGGCCTCTGATCCCTGGAGGTCAGATATATAAAACCAGCCATTATCTGACCCTTGTATATATTTAGGCATACAGCAAATGATTATTCTGTGGAACAGTCATTTTCATTTCTGTGCTTAAAAAAAACAATTTTTTTTTAGTGTTCACTGTTCCCTCTACATTTGGTGTGTTTACTCTCTCTTCCTCTTTCTGCTCTTCCTTTAACCTTCTCTCTCTCCCTCCCCACTCTCTTCCTTTCCTCCCTTCCATCTTCCATCCATTTCCTCTTTAATTTACCTATTCCTTCTCATTAATGCATTGCCTTTCAAAATTTAATCTACAAAATACAAATTGACTATCTCATGCATTGTCAGAAAACTCCCTGATTCTACAATCTTAGTTTAGGTGTTCAACAGGTACAGGAAAGAGGATTTTGAGTATATAAGTCTTTAATTTATTCTCTTATTAGAGAGACTTAAGATGATAGTTTGAATCTTTTTCTATGAAAATAAAACTCTTAAAAAATTCAGTTATTATGGTATTTGGTAAATTTGACATGCAAGATCTGGGAATTTAGATCTTCATCATTTGTGAATTTTTAGACTTTTCACTCAGCTGTTTGACCTTTGCTGTGAGCCTTTCATTCATAACTAATATGGTAATTAATTCCCTAAGCAATTTTAGGATATCTGCTATATGCAAGGCACCATGCTAAGTATTAGGAGTACAGAAATAAGTGAGACACAGTCCCTACCCTCAAATACTTACAGTGATCTGGGGAGGCAGATAGGTAAACCATTACATTACAGTTCAATGTGAAAAATCAGCAACAGAAGCAGGTATAAGATACCGTTAAGAAATAAGTAATGAACTCTTCCTGGCACTCAAGGAAGACCTCTCAGAGAAGGCTCTGAAGCTGTTTAAAAAGATGAAAAAGTTCTGCATTGGCAGAATTTTGTATTTATTTTGGGAACATTGTGATCCATTTTGTCAATTACATTTGAACAGTTGGGAAAATAAACATGATATGTCAGGCTATCCTCTAAACTTTAAATATGTTTCGTAAATTATGATACCAGAGAAAACCTATGAAGGAAAAGCCTTAATCTAGAAGGAATTGACAACTGTCGATGCTACAACTCTTCTGCTTTTAATCTCTCACCACCTTTTCTGTCTGACTCCCTTGTTCCTTCCTGGAACCCATCAGGTACAGGCCCTGCTACCACCTCAACCCCCTTAGCTATTCTGATGTCAGTGTAGACAAATATTTTCCCCTTATTTCAACCAAGACAAGACACAGATTGTTTCCCCCAAAGGAATATAGAACACTAGTTTTGAAGTGCCTTTAGACAGAATCTAGTCTGAAAATGGATGCTTAAATCTGATGTATGGCCCCCTGCAAAGTGGCATCAGGCATCTGGATACCTCCAGTTACAGGGATCTTACTACCACGGAGGAATCCAGTTACATCTTTTATACACATTGGGTGAAATCTCTCCAATATTTATTAAGAAACATACAAGAAACAAAGGGAAAAAAAAGGGAAATGCAAAAGAGATGCAAATGGGAGGGAGCAAAACTGATTAAACCTTCACTAACTGCACATTTCTATTCATCATTTTACTTAATTCTCACTCCCAAGATGTTCCACTCTTTAGTAAACAAATAAACAAGCAAGCAAACCAAGAAAAAACAAAGTGTGGTGATGAATAAAAACGTGGTGCACTTAGTGAACATTTAATAAGTGTAAGTTTTGCTCCCTCTGATTTGCATCCCTTTTGCATTTTCTTTTTTTGCTTTATTTTTGTAAGGGTAGGGAGGTGAGGTTAATTGGGCAGATGGGTGGGTGGTAGGTGTGGAGAGGATGGTAAAAAATTTAACAAAGTTTCTTCTGGGAATGTTTAGGGTCTTCCCTACAAGCATTTACTATACACGATTAATGTGAGCAGTACTCTACTTGACAAAGAAAAGGAAACAAAAGGAAAAGGGAAGGAAAGAGAAGAGAAAAAAGATGAGCAGAATAAAGAGAGAATTTAAGGTGGCTTTTTGTGTGTGTGTGTGTGTGAGGAGATCAGCCCTGTGCTAACATCTGCCAGTCCTCCTCTTTTTTGCTGAGGAAGACTGGCCCTGGGCTAACATCTGCGCCCATCTTCCTCCACTTTATATAGGACGCCACCACAGCATGGCTTGCCAAGCTGTGCGTCGGTGAGCGCCTGGGATCCGAACCGGTGAACCCCGGGCCACCGCAGTGGAGCACACGCACTTAACTGCTTGCAGCGCCGGGCCAGCCCCAAGGGTGGCTTTTTTTTAGCTTCAAAGTATCTACTAATTTGAATTTAGGGAAGAGGGAAAGAGATTGAAAAATAAGTAAGGTGTAGACGATAAAGACAGAGGAGTATTTCAGTCCAGTGAAAAATGTAATCATTTCAATTTTACTAGTATTTATGAAGCAGATATTACAGATCTGTCACCTATTAACAAATTGGGTACAGAATTAAGACCAACCAAAAGAGAATGAATACACATCCTTCTTCACAATCTTTGTTCTATCCCTCCTGTGAGCTTTTCCTCCTCAAGGACTAACAAATTCAATCAGAAAACTATAGTAGGGATTTCAAATCAAAGACTCAAAAAATGAATTCTACCTTCCAATTTTATTTGTTATTATTCCGTATTACAGAATCTAATAGTATAAACTATAGCTATAAATGTACAGCTTTTCATTTACTTGCATGTTGTTATATTTGATTTTAAATATGTTCTTCTTAAAATAAAACTTCATTTAAAAGTTCTGCACAATTCTGACTTTTTGCCCAGTCAGCCTACCTCAGCCAGAGGAAAAAAAACGCCCTAGTTTTCTCCTTACCAAGACAGGAAGCATTTCCTGAAGATTAATCACGGTTTTGACTTGCAAAATTGTAAAAGTTGAGAGAAGTTAGTAGTAAGCTGTATCATCCTACTTTGGACTTGGATTTTTGGCAACAGTCCTGCTGCCACTTGGATGAAAGTAATCATGAGTCAAGCAGTGGGTGATCTAAACAAACACTGTCACACTATAAAAGTTGAGCTCCAGAGGGTAGACCTAGAAGAAGGTAGGCGAAGAGCAAGGCGTTAAGGCAACATAGAGCTAAGTAAAGGCTGCGGAAATGAAGACTCTTCCAGTTCTATTGTTGCTGTGCATGGCAACGTGCTCAGCCTATCCGTTGGACAGAGCTGCAGGGGATGAGGAGGACAACATGGACCTTGTTCAGGTAATTAATGGATACAGCTCTCACTCATTGATAGGGCCAAGTGGGGAAACCGTCTCTGCTTTCCGTTTGTAAAACTCATACGGAATGGTTTGAGCTTACTGGGTAGGAATAGTTCATGGACAGAGAGTTATAAAGTGCTAGATGTGGACAGCATCCCAGTATCACACTATTCAGATTCCTCCTACATGGAGGAAGAAACAAAGACCAGAAATATGAGCTGTTTTCCCAAGATCACACAACACCATAGTAGCAGCAGCACTGGGGCTTGAGATGCATTAATAACAAGTGAAGAATATATAAAACATTTGCATTGGAACTTCTTCAGGTATTTTAATCCAATGTAAGTTTAGCCAGATATTTATATTGCTAGTGTCATGTTTAGATACAGGGGTTTGTCCAATTTTTTTCTTAAGCCAGGTCCTTGTGAGAAGCATGAAGTAGAAAATTGAGAGAATTGAATAATGTGCCTGAAATATACAATTATGCCCAAAGAAGTTTAATTGTTTTATTTTTCTTTTTTAAGATCACTGGCTATATATCACAATTTTCCACTTCCTTCTCATTGCTTTGGTAGCAAACTAACCTGCAGAGATTAATTAATTACAAAGAAAAAACAAAAGTGAGGAAGAGTCTGTGATTGAAGAATTAAGCATATTTGACATTTACTTTGATTTCAGCAAACTAGAGAAATACCTCAAATAGATTAAGTAGAGTAACTACACAAACTTACTATAAAAGGCTAAAAAATCATAAGAATGACCTAAAAACTATACTTATTATTCTATTAGGAATACCTAGAAAACTACTACAACCTTGGAAAAGAAACGAAACAGTTTGTTAGAAGAAAGGACAGCGGTCCTATTGTTAAAAAAATTCAAGAAATGCAGAAGTTCCTGGGGTTGGAGGTGACAGGGAAGCTGGACTCCGACACTGTGGAGGTGATGCTCAAACCCAGATGTGGAGTTCCTGATGTTGGTCAGTTCAGTACCTTTCCTGGCACGCCAAAGTGGGGGAAAACCCATCTTACTTACAGGTAATGGGTCCAGAGGTTTTGATGTAATATTGAGATTTTATCAATTACTTTCACAGGAGAAAATATTATCTTCTTCAATTTTTCTCATGCAGGATTGTGAATTATACCCAGGATTTGCCAAGAGATGCTGTTGATTCTGACATTGAGAAAGCTCTGAAAGTCTGGGCAGATGTGACTCCACTTACATTCTCCAGGATTTATGAAGGAGAGGCTGACATAATGATCACTTTTGCAGTTCGAGGTAAAAAAACCATGATATGCATCCATTTATCTGGTGTTGTTTTATTGGAAAATCTTCCAAAGAGGTTCTAATTACCTATCTTCTCAATAAAAAACATTTTCTCTATTAGACCATGGAGACTTTTATCCTTTTGATGGACCTGGAAAAGTTTTGGCTCATGCCTTTCCACCTGGGTGGGGCATGAATGGAGATGCTCACTTTGATGATGATGAACGTTGGACAAAGGATACATCAGGTTAGTTACACATCTCTCAGAAAGATTTTGGTGTTGACTTTTTTTACTTGGAAAATTCTTAATAACTAAGAATATTCAAGAAATGGGATGTTCTGGATTTCCCACTGGGTCAAGGATCAGCAGAATGTATTTTTGTTTTAATTATTATTGAAAACATTTTCAGATGTCTAAAAAGTTTATTCTCAGTCTTGGCAAGCATGATATAGGAAGCATCATTAAGTATTTCTTTGATGATTGTGGTTCTTGTGTGATCTTAGCACCACAATTAAGAAAAATTTCTCGTTATGTCAGATTGCTAATATCTAAGGGAGAGTGTATAGCATTGACTTCACACTAACATGAACTCTGGATATTGCTTATACTCAATAGGTGGAAATTTCCCCCAATTACTTCTTTACTCTTCAAAATAGAAATGAGAATTAAATTCTAGAAACTGAGGTTCCCATTTAGGTTTTTCTGGTTAAATCAACATTTTACCCTCTCTAGGTGAAGAAGAGTTTTTACAGACTTGTTCTGAAAGAAAGGACTAACCCCCAAATACCATGTCCAAACTGCTTACGTAGAAGAATGTTACTCAGTTCACAACTGTATACTTTAAGGAATGGCTTACAAAGTTTTCAAACAATTGGCTGAAACAAATAATACTATCTCTGAAATTTAATTGGGATTTATAATCAAAATGCAAACAGAATCTCTGTAGAGAGTATAAATGTGAGGTTAGTGCTAGATAAAATTCTTGGTTTGATTGGATTAACATCTTTCTGCAAAGTCTCAAATGAAAACTTTGCTAGGATCACAAGTTACACAAATAACAACTGCATAAGTAAAGTTGACTTACTTTTTATATCAATTATAATTACCCAATGCCTTCCAATTTCAGCATTATGGGTTTTTTTTAACAATGTGAAGAAAAAAGTCTGAATACAGCTAGTGTTTATGTGGCCAAAATCTCTTTCGTGACAAACACTAGACACGATTGGGCATATTATGTTTTAAACTAATCTTGCAAATTCTATGACATCTATTATTACTAATATTTTTGGACCTTATATGTACTTAATAATGATCATGAGGCTGAAAAATTATGCAGGCAATATTCCAATGGAAAATAACGGGACTAGGATTGTTTAAGGATTTCAGAATTGAGATGAATAAGCTGTGATTCATTTAACTGAGCCTGAAACCGGCAAATGTTAATACATGCAAACAGTGTTTAGCTTTCCATTGACAAATAAAGAAAAATATTTAGTGATGTGCTAAACAAGTGGGTTCATTCCATTCCAGAGAACAAGAAAAGGGATCAAGCTCTCATGACGTTAATAGGCTTCCGAGGCTGGACAGGGGAGTAGTTGGATATGGCTGGACACTTTGTCTCAAAGATTGATTTCAAGAATGAGCCTTGAAAAACACTTGGCTTTCCATTAAGTATGTAGTTAAATCCATTAATTGATCAATTACTCAAAAACAACACAAAAAAAGCCCTGTGTTCTTCCAGGAAGTAAATAAATATAGTACACTGCTAACAGATGTAATGTACATGTATTTAAGGAATAAGCAACTACTATTTTTGATTTCTTAAATAGGGATCAATTTATTCCTCGTTGCTGCTCATGAACTTGGACATTCCCTGGGTCTCGATCACTCCACCAACACTAAAGCTTTGATGTACCCAATCTACAGAAAAGACTTAGCCCTGTTCCCCCTTTCTCAAGATGATGTGACTGGCATTCAGTCCCTCTATGGTGAGTGATGCTGGAAAAATTAGGCATTGTAGCTTTTCAATGAAGGTCTTCAGGAAAGCTTTAAAATGCTACATAAAGCATTTGCAGTTCAACTCAAAGCACTTTAGAATGTTTGGAAAGCATAAAAGTTGACAGAAGCATCACCTAACACTTCATTAGGAGAAATCACCTAATTTCTCCTAATGTTTGCATCCCTGCACTGTTTCCTTTAGGACCTCCTCCTGCCTCCCCTGATGACCCCGTGGTGCCCACGGATTCGGTGCCTCCAGGACCTGGAACGCTAGCCATGTGCGATCCTGCTTTGTCCTTTGATGCAATCAGCACTCTGAGGGGAGAAATCCTGTTCTTTAAAGACAGGTCAGAGCAGAAAATTATATTTTCCTATCTATTCTTGTGATGTACAATGCTTAGAAAGGAAAACAAACTGAAATTTGATAGAGATTTTTAAATATTTAAAACAAAAAAATGTCTTCTCTGAACATGAAATCATTCTGGTGCTATACTTTCCACATTTTCCTAAAATTTTTAAGTCCATTTCCAAAGACTTAGACAGGATGATTTGATTCTTGTCCTTGAATTGTTGTTCCCAAGTGTTATAAGTCATGGTTGCTTTTCAAAGGGCACATGTAGAGCTTTAGAACCAGAATTTTATCTTTACCTCCTTTAAAAATGACACCAGGATAACATTACATTTAATCAATTAATTTACTCACTGCTGGATAAATATGCACGACATAAAACATTCAAACTGCACAAATGGAGAGAAAGTTAAAAGCAAGTCTCCCTCAAATCATTGACTCTTAGTTCCCCAGTTCTCCACAGATTCATCTAGAGCCAGGGACTCTTGTATATCCTTCCAGAATTCTTCCTTGCACATATAAAAGTATACTCATGTAGTGCGTATACTTACACACACATCTGCCTGTCTTTCTGAAAATGTAAACAATGGTATGACGTATACACTGTTTTGCATCACTTGTAGGTTTGTAAAGCTTACACTTGGCTAATTAATTAGCATGGTAGGATAACTTCATAGAAGTTGCTCTGGAATCCGATGGCAGGAGATCTGGGGCAGTCTTCCAAAAAAAAAAAGGGAAGATGTTTTCGCAATGGCAATATACCTGATTTCTGTCTGTCATTGAGCCTAGAGGATGAGGGAATGGGGGAAGATGGGTAAGGAAGGGCAATGAGGAAAATATGCTAGAGGTGAAAGACTGTTTTTCAATTTTCATTTTTTTTACATATATTTCAGATATTTTTGGCGCAAAACCTTCAGGACATCTGTACCTGAATTTCATCCAATCTCTTCGTTTTGGCCATCTCTTCCTTCAGACATAGATGCTGCATACGAAGTTACTAGCAAAGATACTGTTTTCATTTTTAAAGGTAAATATTGTATAATAATTTCTTTAAGTTGTTGAAATAAACCCTCTCACAGGAAAATTAAATAAGATTTTAATTTTCTCTACAATCACAAATTTTGTCTACTTTGTTACTCTAAAGTAATGCAAAAATAACTAGGACTGGTATTATTTTATTTATATTTTACACATGATAAAAGTGAAAACAGGAATATAAATTGCTCAAAGTTGTAAATTCCCTCATTCGATCTGTGTTTATTCATTCACTCTGCAAATTTTTGTTAAATGCCTACATTGAGCTGGTGACTATATCTAAAATTCTGCCTTCCTCTTTATGATGAAAATCAACTGTGCTAAAACGTATTCCTAAACCCAAAGGCTTAACTGTTATAAATTCAATGTGACTCTGAATTATTATTTTTTTTTTAACAGGAGACAAGTTCTGGGCCATCAGAGGAAATGAGGAGAAAGCAGGTTACCCAAGAAGCATCCACTCCCTGGGTTTTCCTCCAACAGTAAGGAAAATAGATGCAGCCATTTCTGATAAGGAAAAGAAGAAAACATACTTCTTCGTAGAGGACAAATACTGGAGGTATTTAGACAACTGTGGGAATGTGCTTACCATCAAATACAGCTGCGCCGGATAACAAGTGTTTCTTAAGTGCTCCTGTTTTGTGCAATAGGCTAGAGCTTCCCTCTGTGTTATTGCCCCGCCTGCCTGGAGTGCCCTGTTTTTCCCTCCACCTACCCAAATTCCACCCATCCTTCAAGTCCTGGCTCAAGTCCCACCACATCCGTGAAGCTTTCCCTGCTGGGCTCCAAACCCAACTGAGCTTTTCTTTTTTGAAAAAAGCCCTGAGCATCCAGGCCACACTCTAGCATTCCTTTCCCACTGTCTTATAGGTCTACTCATTGTCTCACTGGGTGTTTGTCTTGTCTTCCCAACTTTACTATATGATTCTCAAAGCCTTCCCTTTCCCTCACGCGTTCATTACCTCTGCCTGTTTAAGAGGATGATGAGCAATAACAGTCCAGTTTCATGGATAGAACCCAGAACTCCCAGAAAGACTGATTCCTGAACCATCTGCCCAGACTCTGAGACATCTGGGCAGACCAACCAAGGTCCAGACAACAAGTCCAAAACACATTTACTGTGCCTTGCTTCTCGTCTCAATTCTTTTTCCTAGGAGGCTGCCATAGGAAGTCCAGATGTGCAGGGTGGGGAGGGCATTTATGAGCCCATGATGGTAGAGAACTTGAAATTTGTATTTATTTGAGATGAATGATTCAATTCACTTTATGTATCTGTTCACTCCTAATGATTTTGTGATAGAAAGATGATTAAAATCCTTTCTGTCCAGGCTTAAGAAATATGATAACAAACGGCATCTGCTAAATCAGGATGTTGCCTCTGTTCTTGGAGGAGATACAGTTTTAAAAGCTAAATTTGCAGTACCGCTAAAATCACATATTTCTGTAGTGCTACATGTGTTTGATATTTATTTGCAGTACTTGGAAAGCTTACTAGAATTCCACGTTAAACCTAACATGATTTATGCATTTTGGTAACATGGACTCTATGCGATGCTGAGCTGTACTTCTTTTACTCGGTGCAGATTTGATGAAAGGAGACAGTCCATGGAGCCAGGCTATCCCAAGCAAATAGCAGAAGACTTTCCAGGGGTTGACTCAAAGGTTGATGCTGTTTTTGAATCATTTGGTAAGAGGATACTCATTTTGTTGGCAACGGGGCACTTGAAACGTTCTATGGAATCAGGGGCAAGAGGAGAATTGAAGTAATTTTTAACAACAGGTTTCCTTTAACCAGTTTCCTCCTCCCTCCCCTGAATTTCAACTTACCAGTTTTATACCAATTACATGACTACTTCATATAAGTTTTGATCATAAAGATAATTAACACAAATTTCTCTACTCTATTTTACACATGCAAATAAAACTGAAGTGCTCAAGAGTCACTTCCTTACATTTAGAGTTGTTACCTTTCAGATTACTCTGTCAGTATAAAAATCCCCTCAAGTAGTGTGGCCAAGTTTAATACTGGCTGGCTGGCTTCCTCCTCCACTCCATCGTATTGCTGCTACTAACGCCCAGGGAGATTTCTCTGTCTTTCCTCAGGAGTCAGTCATTGCCCACCTCGGTCAGCTGCAAATACTTACCTTTCCATGTGGCCAAAGTTTAAAAAAAAACATCCTGTGGCTGGAGGCCGATGATCTTTAGTGAAAGGTAACCTGAGCACCATGATGGCAGAGCCATAGATAGTCGTCTGGTGTTCTGCAAGAGTTACTGTGCATCTCTGGGACCAGAAATGTCCCTCAGGCTGCAATATGGGGAAAGGAGAGGAGGAGTGTGGAAGACAGAAAATAAAGAGATTGTAGTTTCCAAAGAAGCAGAGAATTTTACCTGATTGGAAGCAGAATAACCTATTAACTTGGAGCCTGGCTTTGCTGTCAGACAGAACTGGTATGGAGTGCTGTCTCTGTCCTTTCCTTGTTGAGTGACCTTGGGCAAGCATCTAAATTTGTCTGAAACTCAACTTGCTCATCTGTAAAATGGAGTAGATATATTTACCTCATAGGATTGTTGCAGAAATAAATGAAAACAAAAGTCATGTACAATGCTTAACATAGTCCCTGGTGCATAGCAAATTTCTGTAAACATTTTCTATTTTTAGTTATCTACTATTCTGAGTTTGGTATGTTGCAAATTTGTTTGTTTGAAAAAATATCTCACTAATTCCCTTGTCTGTATTTGCAGGGTTTTTCTATTTCTTCAGTGGACCTTCACAGTTTGAGTTTGACCCAAATGCAAAGAAAGTGACACATGTTTTGAAGAGTAACAGTTGGTTTAATTGTTAGGAGAGATGCTTAGCAGGCACAATATGGGCATTTTAAACGACGCTAATAATTCTGCACCTAAGTCTTTGTGAATTGAAAGTTCCTTTTCTCCTGCGTGTGCAGTGACTTGAGAACGCGAGTGTGAGCTGTGTGCTTTGCCAATCAGCTTCACATATTGCAGGGCATTCAGATGGGCTGCTGACCTTGCACTTTGGTCACATGGAGTAGCCTTCCATAGGAGGAGGGAAAACACTCATGTGCCACAGACAAGTGACTGTATATAGACTATTTGCTTGTTATTTAATAAAGAAGGTTTGTCAGTTATTTTATTTTATTGTTTTGTGTGTGTGTTTGTTTCAAGAACAAGTCATCCTCACAATCTTGGGCACATTATAGACTGAGCAGAAGATAGCCTGATATCCTCAGGCAGTGGTGTTAGGATCAGGGTCTCTGTGGCTGGGGCCTCACAATGGGCTCTTCTAGAACTGAAGACAATCTACTACTTGCCCTTCTCGGGTACCCTAAAAACCGGATGCTTATTTCTACCACCCAGACATTATATGTGTTTCTGACATACCCTAGGAGAAAGATCTAGGAAAGCTGTCACCTTGCAGGGCAGGCTCTGGAAAAAAATGTGAAGCAGAATCTTACGATTATAGCAGATCACCTAGCTCACACACCTCGTTTTTCAGGTGGAGAAATCAAGCCTGTTCTTCTTCTTTTCCTTTTTCTTATATATTTCCTCAGTAGAGCCCCTTTCCCTGCCCTAGCAAACAAATGCGCTCATATCCACCCTATTCACACATGACAATATCCTCTTGCACTCATTTTGTATTTGCCATGCTGGAAGTCCATGAGCAAATGCTTATCCTAAGACAGATATATCGCCCCTAAGTAATGTGTCTAGCACAGTATCTGCTACATAGTAAGAGATCGTTCACCCTTTACTTATTCATTCGTTTGAGAATAATTTATTAATCAGAGTCCATGTGCCAGCATTGTGCTAGGTTGTAGGCATAGGAGCCTGAGAAAATGGACACAGCCCCCACCCTTGCTGAGATTATAATCCAGCAAGGAAGAATATAAGCAAATAACAATAAACATGTACATCCAATTGTAAATTTAATAGGAGTTATAAAGGAAAAACTAGACTTCTTTAATAGAATGATAAGAGGATCTACATTGGATTAGGTGGTTTTAGAAGAACTTTTGAGGGAATGGCACTAGACAAGGTTTTTGAGCAGAGACATGGGAACTAGGGGAGAAGATGATGGCTTGGAGTAAAGTGGTGACAGTGGAAAGTCAACGACAAGAATATATATATTATATATACATGGTAGACAATAAGACTTGATGATGGATTAGATATGGAGTTTAAGAGAGAGGGAAGTGGTCAGAATAATTTCCAGATAGCTTCCTTAAGCATAAGTGTTGATGGTGACAGCATTACTCCAAGTAGGCTTGGAGAGAAGCAGTTTTGTGAGGAAAGGGTAAGAGTTAGGAAGAATTGTTTAGTTTTGCCAATTTTTGAAATGTCTGCGAGATATCCAATTGGTCATGAGGTAAATGAGTCTGGAACTCAAAAGAGACGATATAGTAACTAGGCGTGGTGATGGATATTAACTAAACTTATTGTGGTAATCATTTTGCAATATATACATATACCAAATCATTGTGTCATACACCTAAAACAAATAGAGTGTTATATGTCAACTATATCTCAATTTAGAAAAAAAGAGAGAAGCTGTAAATATGTGGGATTTTTCTCATTTAGATTGTTCTTAAAACCATGGTATGAAAGAGACCATAGGGGACATTTTAAGATGGAATTCTAGTAAATAGCAATATTTTGCCAGGAATTGAGCATTTCTTTATTTTAAAAATTACCCAAATTTATTTGGTTTATTTTTTTAGATAGGTACTACATAGCCAAAACACATATTCAAAAGGTAAAACACATTATGCAATGAAAAGGTAATTTTTGCCAATGGGTGAAGCTACCATCTGTAGGATTATGACTGAATGCCTCTAAATCAGAATCCAACCCAGGCGGAATGATACGGCCGTGCTGCGGCCAGAGCCTAGGTTGTCCTCAGATGGCCTTGGATAGCCAGTCCCCTGCCATCCCCACTGGAGGGCCACCTTGCACCCCACATGTTGCGATGAGCCTGGCCAAGGTTTGGGACTGGGTCTGGTGTGAGAGCCCATCTTCTGGGAAATGGGGCCAGCCAGAAAGGCGGCCCTCTCCTTGCCCATCACGCAACACAGATTCGTAGGGAACCTGGTGCTAAACCATTCACAGACGACCTGCCCCTGAGTCAGGGTTTCCTATGTAGCAGAGCAGCTCCCTCCCTGCGATCTATTATGTCAGCCTTCTCAACGCAAGACTTGGTAGGAAAAAAAACACAACTAAAAAATAACAGTGTATTGTATACTTGAAATTTGCTGAAGGTAGATCTCAAATGTTCTCACCAAAAAACAAAGGTAACTATGTGAGGTGACGGATGTGTTAATTAGCTTGATTGTGATAATCATTTAACAATGAATATATATATCAAAACATCATGTTGTACACCTTAAATATATACAATTTTTATTTGTCAATAATACTTCAATAAAGCTGGAAAAAAGTTTTTAAAAAGTAAAAAAATAAAAATAAAGGAGTTTATTGATTCACATTATTTAAAAGTACAGCAGTCAGGCAGGTTTCAGTTTCAGTGTGATCAGGGTTCTGGCTCCTTCCCTCCACTCTTGTCTTGACTCTGTCCTCCATGTCAGTTCTACCGTCAGGCTGGCTTACCTCATGGCAGCATATGGTAGTTCTATGGTAGTTCCAGCCATCATGCCTCCATAAAGCACCACTCCCACTCCTCAAACCACACTCTGAGCCTCTCCTGTTTAGACCATCTCTAATCATGTGGTCGTCCTACTATAATTACTGTGGCAAGGAGGATGGGTCAATTTTACCCCAGCCATGGTGCTGTTACATTGTGGGGTGGGGGAAAAGATATTGAGGCAGCAATCTCTGTCCATCCACCACAAAAAGAATTTGGGCAGTAAGCAGATGGAAATAATAGATGCAGATAATTCTTAGGAGAAGTTGGGCTGGGAATGAAGCAAAACGTATTTTTCCTTTGTACTGTCAGATCTGATTCATAGTTCTCTTGCATGCCTTTGCTTGAGGGGGGAAAAGGAATCAAACAACTTTTTATATGCTGAATACCTGTTTTTTTCCAGGCGCTGCACTCGAGGCTTGCTGTGTACTGCTCATTTAGTCCTCATAATGACTATTGTGTTGATGGTTTGTTTCCATAGTGCAGAAACATAGTTCAGAGTCATTCAGTAACTTTGCCATGATCACGTAGTACATAGCAGAGTCGGGATCTAATTTTACATTTTTCTGATTTCAAAGATCATGTTCTTATTTTGTTGAGGATAACACACAATAAATCAGCCTGGATGGCTTTATCTTATCTAGTTTTGACTCCGTTCTGAACTAGATGTTCTGCTATATCATACTGCGTGACCACAAAGGGAGAGGGCTGATTCTTCCTCAATCCTGCAATTTAAAATCCCCACAGGCCTAGGGCTAGGGTTCTTCTATCTGCATCTGACATCCGGCCTCTCTAAATTCCCCTGTGTTATCCCAAATTATAACAGAAAATGAGGAACCTCGTACCTGTTACTGTTCCCCTCTGTAAATTTCCCCAAGCAATCTTGTTCCAGGAGGACTGGAGTGCACTTGTGTGCTGACAAGCCATTCACCTGTGTTACTGACACCAACCAGAGGCCAAACACCAGAAGACCAGACTTGCAGCCCGCGTCAAGACTAGTCCAGCCCTAATGGTGGTATGCTGCTGGATCCCAGAATGATGTTCAAGAACTGGTTCAATTCCTCTTGCCTTGGAAATTTGGAGTATGTTTGTATTTACAGGAAGTGATGCAGTGACACTAGATTAGGGGGACAGGGAAGGAAAGCAGAAGCTGGGAATCAGGTTGGAATTTGGCGATAAGCCAACAAAATGGTGGATTTAACACAGATGAGAAAATGAAAAATAAAGAAAGTAGAATTTCACCAGTCAGTGAACAGATGGGTTATGATTTCGGAAGTGTTTAAGAAGCCCATCACCAAAAATCAAGCCACATGGAGATTCGTTTTGATCCCACTGTGAAGAGAAACAGTGGGAAGAGAATGCTGAATCTACAATCTGTAATTTGTGAAAACAGTTTTCTGTAAAATTGAAGAAGTTGGCAGGGTTTAATTATAAGAAAGTATTCAGCTTGCTACCCTGGGATTTGAGTAGAATCATCCTGGAAGCAGTACAAACATCCTTTGCCTTGATTTACAATCACTAGTAATAATCAGTATGTGTAACTTCAGTGGCTGTAGTAGACTGGAGGTAGTAATTATCTTCCCTTTGGTTGGGGAGCAAATAAGGCACTTCTGGAAGAAGGGTATATGAATATGTATAGAGATGATAATAATGAATACAATATTGAGACTTTGATTTACATACTGTTACTATGCTATGATGTGCTTTGTAGTCATCCTACTGTTTTGCATATGATTTTTCTGTTTTTTGGTGTTTGAAAAGTGTATGAAAACCTTATTTAAGGCATTTAATTCTTTGCTTTATTATATTAATAAGAGTTACTTAAATGTTTAGAAATACCCTGCTTGTTGGATTTTAAGTCTGCACAATAGATTTGGATTGTTTTAAAGAATTAGCTATATTACAATCATAATTATAATTTGAAGTGTTGATGAAAATATTATTTATGAACGCAAATAGTATTAAATGTTCAAGGATAATTCAATATTTTGCTATATGAATCAATTAAATATTAATCAAGGAGCTAGTGAAAGTGATTGTACTTATCTTTATACATATTTACTAAATTAATAAACAGAAAAACAAGCCTAGAAAGTTGAATTTAAAGTCTCCAGAAAATTTAAGATTTGTCTTTAATAAATTGAATATTAATTGTAATACAAGTAAATCTGTATTAATAGGCATGCAAAGAAAGCTGCCCTCAGACATTTATAAATCCAGTTGAAAGGCTGACATATATTATTTGTCTTATTTTAATGCAGAGAGGAAACAAATATTTTACATATATTATCTCATTTAATTCTCATTGATGAAGTAGATATTATTAAACCAATTATACAAATATAAAGATTGCTGTTGCTCAGAAAGGTTAAACCATATCCTCAAGGTCATGCAGATAATAAATAGGAGAACCAGGAATCTAATCCACCTTATCTGACACCAGCCTTATGTTTGATCCACTCTGCTGCCTCCCTACTCTTAGTGTTGATATGAAT